ACAGCGAAGATCTCAGAGTCATCATCATATCTGGTCGGTTCTTGATCGTTTTGGACCTCTCACAGGCGGGAAGCTGCTGGTTCTAAATCTGTGCCGCCTCTGTTTTAGCCAAAGGTCCGGTGTTCTCATCGGGACACGACCTGAAGGAGCTGACATCCGCTCAGGGCCAAGAGTTCCACACCAAGGTGTTTCAGACCTGCTCAGAGGTTGGTTCACGTCTGGGTTGGGCCCTAAAGTCAGAGCCGAAGACTCCAACATGTTTTGATTGGGAATATTTAAAGTCGTAGGGAAGTCATATTTAAATGTCAAATCATTCTGGCTTAAACATGTATATAAATTTACTCTTTATCAGACCACATTGTCCCAAAAGTAAGAAAATTTCTTATTATTAAAAAAAAAATAAAATCCTGTCTTAATGGAATTTCCCATTGGGAACCTACTAGCACTAACTTGCTAACTGGTTAGCAAGATGCTTCCGACAAACTGGCCACAACCAAACCTGCTTACAAACCTTCCTCCACAACAATCCTGCCCTCTTGATAATCGACCAATCACATTCACTTTAGTCACCCGTGTAAAGTTGTGCACCACTGGGAGAATTCAGAAATGCAACGGTTGGAACAGCCGCTTCCCTACGACTTTAAATGTATGGGGAGGATGTTCTTTTTAGAGGTGGATCCTCTCAATAAGTGGTCCTCCTAATTGTCAATCATTCTGATGATACGTTTATGTGCTCATACCCATTTTCACTTACTGGTGGTGAGTCTGACATAGTAGAAAAATAGCAAATCTTTTGGAAAGTAATCTTGTATTAGCAATGCAAACAGCAACTTTCATGAACGCTTTCACAACTTTAATAGGCCTTTGCTCTCAGGAGTGGGTACAGGGTTGGGTATGTGCATTTATTTTATTTTTTTTTACTGGAGAGGGAGGGTCTTTTGAAAAATTTTCGAAAATCCTCCACTCCACCTTTAAATAAACCCTTTAACTGCAGAGCAGGGAGTGTTGAACATATTCATGGTTTCTTGATTTAATTTAAGTTTGGAACAGTCTAACTTTGGCTCAGTTCTTCTAAAAATGTTTCCAGGAGTTTTTATTCCGTCAACTGTCTCTGTAAATCAGCCTCCTACCCGTTTGGCCATTTGGATCACAGGGAAATTAATTGTGTTAACTGGAATAGGTACCGGAATAAAGACTCCTGGATAGGTAAAGAAATGCTTTCAACTAGGCCAGGTTGCCAGTTCAACATTTAATCATGAATGCTTATTATATATTTAAGCCCACAGTCCTTTTTTATAGTGGGATAATAGACTTAGAGTCCATGTTGCCATATGAGGCTTATATAAAACTTTTACATTTTTGTGGCTCCAGACAGATTTGTTTTTTATTTTTTCGGTCCAATATGGCTCCTTGAGCAGTGGCGGCTGGCCAACAGAGGGCGCTAGGGAGCTGCTCCACCCACACAATGACCCTGATTAAGACATAAAATATATATATTATATATATATATATATATATATATATATATATATATATTTATAATTAAATTTAAAATTAACATTTAAAATATTTCAAAATATATTAATATGTATTTCTTAGATGTGCAAGATACATATTTAATACATATTTAATGACTAGTAAAGCTTCATCCGATTTTTTTGTTGGATTGGTGACATCATTTTCCATTGACTCTTAAAAGTTTTCCGTGCGCAGAAGCTCCTCTGCAATACAAAGGTATAGGAGAGCTCGGGGGCCAGTAGACCCGGTTCTTAGCCCTGCTGCTCACTGGTTCAGGTCTGTTTTGAACTTTTTTTTTTATCCCTGGTCCGTTTCTCCGTCTCCTGATCTGTGAGCGCTGGCAGCGGACGGCTTTCAGCAGGTTTCTGTCGTAGCTTCGCTAACCACTCCTGTGTTTCAGGTGATGACCCTGATACAAGACATCCCCGTCCCAGTGATCGCCATGGTGAACGGCGTCGCCACGGCAGCCGGCTGCCAGCTGGTCGCCAGCTGTGACATCGCCGTAGCGACCGAGAAGTCCACCTTTGCCACACCTGGCGTCAATGTGGGCCTGTTCTGCTCGACGCCGGCGGTGGCCATCGGCAGAGCGGTGCCCAGGAAGGTAAAGAAAGGAAAGTTTCCCAGACCTTCATCCTGGTCCAAACCCACTGGAAAGGAAATGAGATCTAAATAAGTCATTTTTCTTAAAATAACTGCATTTCTTTCTGGAATTTAGGTGGTATTTGAGACAATTTGTTAATGGAACAATATAATTTACATTTAAAATAAGAAAAAATTATTGAATTTTCTTTTTCAAGTGTATTTTGTCTAATGATCTTCTTTTAAAGTCGTAGGGAAATCATATTTAAATGTTAAATCATTCTGGCTTAAACATGTATATTAATATACTCTTTATCAGACCATATTGTCCCAAAAGTCTTAAATCCTGTCTTAAAATCTGTGTTTTTTTGTGTTTTTCTCCGTTATCTTCTGCAGGCCAGTTAGTTCTACGTCAGCATAAACACCTAAATTCGGCCAATCATATATCAACGGTCATCTATCCATCAAATGTTTTTGGTCATAGCATCTTGATTCATATGTTGCAGCTAATATGCGCAACGGTTGAAATAAGAATCAGACACTAAACTCTCCTCCTCTTGCATGTTTCCTCTGTCCATAGCGTTCCTTGACAGCGTCGTTTCTAAGTCACCAATTTCGTGCTACTTGGTCCCAATGGAATTTCCCATTGGGAACCTGCTAGCACTAAGTTGCTAACTGGTTAGCAAGATGCTTCCAACAAACCGGCCACAACCAAACTTGCTTACGAACCTTCCGCCACAACAATCCCGCCCCCTTGATATTTGACCAATCACATTCACTCGTGTAAAGTCGGGCACCACTGGGAGAATTCGGAAATGCAACGGTTGGAACAGCCGCTTCCCTACGACTTTAATAAATGGTGTTTGTTGGTGTCACCAGGTTGCCATGGAGATGCTGCTGACGGGAACTCCTCTCTCAGCCCGTGACGCTCTGCTGCACGGCCTGATCAGTAAGGTGGTTCCCGAGGAGCGGCTGGAGGAGGAGACGCTGGCCATCGCCCAGCGGGTCTGCCAGTCCAGTCGGCCCGTCGTGGCTCTTGGAAAGGCCACCTTCCTCAGGTAGCTTCTCCTCATTGGTCTGCTGCGAACACCCAGCGCTAAAAACGGCATTTATTCTCCTGCTGCTCCTATTCACAGACAAATGGCTCAAGGCAGAGACGCAGCGTATGCTACGGCCTCCAAGGTGATGGTGGACAACCTGGCTCTCCGGGATGGGCAGGAGGGGATCCGGGCCTTCATCGAGAAACGCAAGCCTGTGTGGAGCAATAAAGCTGAGAAGGTTCATGACTGAGCAGCTCTGCTGCTAGAGAAGAAGAAATAAAAGAGTGAAATCTGCAGTATTAAGAAGATCTAAGGTTTAAATCATTTCTTATTTTGGCCAAACAGAACCTTTGTTCTGTTCAGATCAGCAGCTCTCTGGGCCTCAGGAGCTCATTCTGTTAGAAATTCATCCTTGTTTATCTTGATTTGATGGTTTCCTTTTGACTAAATTAATCAGAACTTTTGCATATTATTGAGGAAACAGCAGATAAAGGTCTCTGATAATCAGAAGAGTTCCCCTCTTAATGGTGGACGTTTGTGACAGACTGGTTTAAGCTGAATCTTAAACTAAACTGAGTTTAGGAAAAAGGTTCCCTTCTTGGTTAGACATCTTTCTTCAACACTACAGACATTATATATTTTTTTTTATTTTGCCCTTTCTTTTGTGTATGAAATTATTTTGCAAACTCTTGCTTGAACTTGAATTTATTAAAGGAAAAGTCCGGTCTGCAAGGAATCACCAATGGGTCATTATTTATACCTAAAGCTAATATGTTGGTGATAATTTAATGAATTTAGTGTTAATCAGTAAAAGAAATATAATCATTTTCGTTACAATCACTGAGTCTGGGAGCGGCCATTTTTGCCCAAATACAGTAACACCTCAGTCCTGACGTCACGGTGCGGTAAGCCTAGCGCCATTCTCCCCGATTTACAAGCAAAATCAGTGGGAACTACTAGACACAACAATTATTGAAGATTTCACCGTTGAAATTCACCAGAGCTATAGTGAAACTGACAATGCCCACGTGCATGGCAGCTGGATGTTGGAATACATTTGGAAACATTTGGAAGAAGAATGTTTTCAAGATGACTTGGATAATAGCGCGTTGTGACAAACACCAGATACAGCACTGGGACTTGATCAACAGCCGATACCGCACCGTGACGTCACAAACCAGTAGGTGGCAGTAGTGTTCTTTGACAAACATGGATGCCTCCACTAAAGCACATTCAAATGAAAATTACTGATCATTTATTGAACAGGATGGAATAATTTCATACTTAAAGCACTTTCAGAAGTTTGAATTATGAATATAACCGGACTTTTCCTTTAAGAAACTTATTTAGGTTCCCATAAAGGGGCGGTTTCTTTTTTCCAGCGACAGTGGAAACCCAGCGGAGCTAGAATCCCTTCCAGATTTCCTCATTAAATGTCTTCCTTCCACCAACGTTCCTGTCATAGATGTTAGCATCAGCGTAGCATGCAGCTTTCCATTAGTGGTCAACTCTTCACACTGAGTTCATCACTAGATGTCCACCTGGATCCGAGTCTGGATAGAAAACAACTTTTCTTTAGCAATCATTCACCTCAGGTTGTTTTTAAGTTTATAAAAGGGGAAGTTAAACAATAAAACCATCATCTGGAGGGTCACTACGCCCCTCCTCTTCTCATTTGAAGACCATCAGTTTCATCCTCAATGCATCGGCGATATGAGGACGATATCAGATAAAGTCATGATGGACACTGATCATATCTGTAATTATACATATTTTTATTTGATCTTTCCCATTTGTTTGTTCAGCTTTTTGCCGCTGTTCCTGTAAGTAATGTAAATTATTCTTTAATTCAGAATTCAAGGTCTTTGCAAAGATGATTTTCTTGGTGAGATTATTGTTATGGAGAGAAATACAGAAAAATAGGAATTCTGAAAATTCTTCTTTTCTTCTGAATAAGAATAACTAAACACATGTTTTAGATTTTTTTAATCAATAATAATAAAATCACAAACAAAGTTAAAACCAAAGCTCTGCCCATTTCTTTGTTTTTTTCTGGATTTAAAAAAGAAGGAATAATTAATGAAACCAAAATTTAAAAATCTGTTCCAGAGGTTTTGACTGTTTTGTGATGCCTAGTTTAATATCTTTAGTATTAAAACATTCAATCCACCGATTTTTGATGAGAAACCTCAACAAACAAAACATTAAGTCAGTTAAGAGCTGGTGTCTTTTTTTTTTTATTTAAATAGTAAATATTTAAAACATGTTTAAACTAAAAACTTCTATAACCACAATGGTAAAGAGAGATGAAATCATTGTGACCCAGAAGGAGGATCCAGAAACCTAAAGGGAAAGTCTTAAAAAAAAAAAAAAAGAAGTTATGAATAGACCACAAAAAAAGGAAAAAATAAAACTGAGAAAGTACAGATTTTAGAAAAATATAATAGGTAAGGTAGGTAAATAAAAATATTCAAGATAAAAAGAAAAATGGCAGCTTATAACCGATATTCATGTGGAAAAATATTCATTTCTTTCAAGGAGTTTTTCAACAATCCCAGAACCTTTAGATGTTTACCTTTGCAAACCCTCGCCAGGAAAGCTGATGCTCTTTGCCAAGTTTTCACAACGAAGATCTGTCCGCATCGTCACAAAATTTCCTGGGTTTACGGTGCAGAAATTCTGTCTGCACTGCCGCCGCACAGAGAGATGGTTTGACCTTCTGAAAGCCTCAAGCATAAACTAGACTTTACATTCTGATCAATCTCTGCCCCTTGTGCCACACCAGCAGGGGGCAGTGTTACATAGAGATTAGCCCAGTGAAAATCTCCCTGCCCTCTTTAAAAGTCCGGTCATATTCAGAATACAAACTTCTGAAAGTAATTTAAATGAAATTATTACATATCATTATATAAGTGTTTTTAATTAAGAGTAATTTTATTTGAATGTGCTTTACTGGAGGCATCCATGTTTGTCAAAGAACACTACTGCCACCTACTGGTTGGTGACGTCACGGTGCGGTATCGGCTGTTGATAAAGTCCCAGTGTTCTATCTTGTGTTTGTCACAACGCGCTATTATCCAAGTCATCTTAGAAACATTCTTCTTCCAAATGTTGGCTACAGATTACATGTTTTTTCTCTGGCCAGAAGAAGCTTGATTACCACAGTGTGACGTCACTGCTGGAAGATGTCAGGTGTGACGTGTTACTATATTTGGGCAAAAATGTTCAGTGGTCAGTCCCAGACTCAGCGATTGCAATGAAAAATATTGGCCATTTCTCAGTCGGTGTACTTGTGCGTTCTCGTACTGGTGAAACATCATCAGCCTCAGTCCTAATACTGTTCCAATTCACAAGAACAGCAGACCGAGAACGGACAAAGTCCCCGGATGTTGTTCTCATCCCTCCCTATTTACCCAGCATGCATCAGAGCAGACTTGTCCGTTCTTGAGATTGACAGCTGTCCCAGCATGCACTGCAGCAGTTTCCAATAGTATTTAGTTAAAACTTCTTACCCTCCGGTGTCCGCTGGTTGCCGCTGTCCTCTCAACTTCGGAAATTGCTTTTTTAACTACGCATTAAATCGGTAAATGGACCATATAGTGACGCTTTAAAGTATAATATTCTCTCCTCAAATGATCTTGAAACATACATTAATTGAACAACAGCAACGGAAATTTTTAACTTTCAATGGAGTGCTCCATTGAAAGCTACTGCTGCAACGATGCATGCTACTGTTCAATAGTTGTTGCCATATCCCTTATTGTGCTTTGTCGTCACGCCCTCAAAACCCCGCCCACTTTGCATCCAAAATTTCGAAACACATCTCTGCGTTGTGATTGGCCCGCCAGTTCTAGGGTCTGGGGCATTGATTGAGGCTAGACCACTCACAGGCAAAAATTATTTTGGCCACTGGCGGGTGGGGCTAGTTTACTAGGCTAGGAAAACGGGCTACCTTTATATCGCCATTCTGGCAGATAGTGCTGTGTAGCAGTGCCATATCTGTATCTGTTGGACACCCTGTCTACATTTAAAGGCAGGCATAAAACTTTCCTTTTTGATAAAGCTTATAGTTAGAGTGGCTCAGGTTATCCTGAGCTATTTCTATAGTTATGCTGCTATAGGCTTAGACTGCTGGAGGACATAGGGACCCCTTTTTCATAGGGGTTCTGCTCTCTCTGCTTTTTCTCATAGTAGCTTCATCGCATCTGTTCCTGGTCGGATGTGACTCCATGTTTTTGTGTCTCTGCTTCTGTCTCCTTGAACCCCAGTCGGCCTCGGCAGATGGCCGCTCACACTGAGCCTGGTTCTGCTGGAGGTTTCTTCCTGTTAAAAGGCAGTTTTTCCCCTCCACTGTCGCTACAAGTGGGCTTAGTGTGAGGGGTTGCTTTCCAGTCGATGCAATCAACTGGTTTTCCTTAGATAGAAAACTTTGAATCAATGACTGGATGATCTGGTGAACTGTAAAGTGCCTTGAGATGACGTGTTGTGAATTGGCGCTATAGAAATAAACTAAATTGAATTTTAGAAAGAACTAAAAGCATGCACCATTGAATCCAGAATGAGATTTGTTGAGAATTAATGTTTGAAGTTAGAAGTAAAAAAGTTAATTCATAAAAATAAATCCTGGAGGTGTAAAACAAAAAAAAAAAAAAGACCAAAACATTGAAAGTTTTTCACCCACCTGGTTTTATTAAACAACATGTGAGAAGAACCTGCAGTTTAACAAAAAGCTGAATAACTGTGTCTGTTTGAGAGCATTTAGAGAGTAAAGAATAACGAATGGAATGTGTTGGGTTGATCTTTGAAATGCATGACATACGTGTTACATGTAGTGTGTGTTCCAGGTCACGCTCTGCACACGCTCCAGTAGATATCACTTTTACAAACAGCAGCGGTTTAGTGGATTTAATTATAGATTTATTACAGTGTAGCCCTCTGGTTAATCCGTATTTATGATTCAAGTGGAAAAAAACGCAGAGATCTTCGGCGTTAATTAGGAATGAAAGTTTAAAACGAACAGGGACGTATTTGAAATGAATCTCAAAGTTCACATTAAAAGCATTCAGTGACGTACTTTTTAAAATGATTCATCCAGAGTGGATTGATCTCTGGTGTAAATACCTGAATTCAAGATAAAAACCAACAAACATGGAAAATAAGTCAGTTTGATCCCCCCCCGCCCCCCGGCTCCTAACCTTACATTAAACCTCTGCTGTACATCATCAGACTCTAAAAGATAAACTGTTTATATATTCAAACTGTAACCTCTGTTCATGAATTACATCCAAAAATAAAATTACATCTTCAGTCAGTTTTTTTTAAAGCGATCAGTAGAAACCTCAGAGGCTGCTGTGTCTTTTAAAGTTCAGAGCTTCACACGAGCAGAACCCGGTTCCGGTTCTGCTCGTCTCTAGCACAGTGTCGGTGACTACGCCTCGGCGTGTTCCAGTGTCAGCGTTGCATCACAGCAGCATGGACTCCTGCATGGCGAAAGCCTCCTGCGCATGCCTGTAGTGTGGTCCACCAAACAGCTGGGGGAGCTGCTGCCCCTCCTGGAACTGCGTCCTGTAGTGAGGCAGAGCCTCGGCGTGGGGGGGGAAGGGGAAGTCGTGAATAGGAGACATCTGGGCTTGTTGGAAGCTGGGGGAGCGATGCATCCCCCCGGGGGACTGAAGGGGGCGCTCTTCCTCCAGCTCCCACTGGAGGCCGTCTACGATCGGCTGAGGCCGGCCTCCTCGCAGGTAGGGGGCGTTTACCTCACCTGTCTGATAGTAGTCCAGGGACGTTTGGATCTGTGTGGCGGACGTCAGCTGCTGCAGGTAGAGGGGGGTGGAGTCTGGGGGGGGTCGGGTGGACCCGGCGGGGGGCGGCCTGCGGTACGTGGCGAACGAGTTATTTAGCAGCACTTTCTCAGGGGAGTGGTTGCTGCGCTGGCGGTGGGTGGTTGCATAGGACAGCTCCCTGTACGGCGTGCTGGGGGGGGAATTAACCCTGGGGGGTTCATAGTGCGGGCCCTCCCCTCTGGGGTCCAGGCTCACGCTGTAGCCTGGGTGGAGGATGGGAACCTCAGTCGTAGTTCTTCTTGGAGACAGCTGCTGCGGTGGGGCGTTGAACCGACCCTGCGCCCCCGAGTAGCCGGCCGGTGGCCCCAGGTGGGAGGCGTGGGGGGGCTGAACATGCTTGGCCATCCTGGGACCAGGGGAGACCATGTTGCCGCCATGGCTTGGTCCGTGAGCCGGGCTGCCCTGGTGGGGGGGCCTCATTCTGGATGGAGGCTTCTCCAGCTCCAGAATCTCAAAGTCGGGTTCTGGGAGTCCTGGAACATTGTCATACTGGGAGGCATTGGAGCCTCGGTCAACACCCGGGAGGAATCCCTTGGAGCGAGGACGCCGCTGAGTTTGGACGCCGTCGTTTGGACTGGAAGGAGCTGGCGACGGCCCTCGGCTGTGCTGCGTCGCCGCCGCCGCCTTCGCAGCTTCTAGCTTGGTCTCGGAGGGTTTGACCCACCGGGGGCCGAAGATCTGGCGTGAACCGGAGGCGGGGTTTGAGTTGTGGTTGGTGGCGGCGTGAGGACTGCGGCTGTCCACCGAGGTGAACTGGGGTGTTGATGGAGGAGCTGGCCCTCTCTCTGGGGTGGTGGAGGCGGACGGTTTCTGTTGCTCACTCAGAGCCTCATTGGACCTCCTGATGTGGCCGTCCCCTTTTTCCATCCGGTGGTGTCGGTGCGGCCTCTCCGTGGAGTCCCTGCGGGCCCGACTTTGGGGCAGGCTCTCCTGCGGCCGCTCTGGTCCAGTTCCGGAGTCTCTTGGCGGCTCGACGGGCTTGGCGTGGCTTTGACCGTTGCCTACGTGGTTCGGTACAGGCGCTGCGACCTCTGGAGGAAGCTGCCCCAGCGGCTTCTTAGGAAACTCGTCATCTTTACCTGCAGCGTAAGAACAAGACGGTTATTTTCCTCCTTCAGAGTCAGACTGAGGACTGATGGAGGAACATGGAGTGAAAAGTCACAGCGGGGTCATGAGTTCATGCAACATCATCACTGGCATAAAATGGAGGAGAGACAACATTCAAGACAGGACAGCAGGTCATCTGTGTAGACCGGCTTCGTAGGACCTTCAGTCTGTAAACGGGGCTGATTGAGGGGGGGGGGCTGGATTATTATTAACTGGACTGTTTCCTTTGTGGATCAGATTACTGACTGACGTCTGCAGGTTAAGTTCCCACAAGGCCTCATGCTTCACTTCAAAGAGTTGAATAATCCCAGAGTTTGGGCGTTCAAACCAAATTAGTTTATAATGGGTTCAGCTGAGCAGAGATTATAGTAGAACATATTCCCACATTGATTCATGTTTTTAAAAAATTGTTTATAATTCAGATTATCAGAGATGCTCATTTTAACCTCTACTTCACTGATCTCTATTTATTCACTGGATCACTGATTGCCCATTGGTAGTACGGGGTTGAAGGGAAGCCACCGGCCGCCATATTGGTACTCCCTATTTAGACTGGTCACAATTGAACAATACATGCACTACGGCATCAAACATTGATGATGTTCTCATTTTCAGGGTGACTTAATACTCTTAAAATAAAGATAAATTCATCACTATGACACGCTGGCTGTTTCATAGCATCAGTAGATTTAACTTATAGTAAAAAAAAATAGGCACATCTCATTTCATACTTATTATGAAGTCAATGATGACTCTAAATCATGTAATATAACATATTATACAATCCATCACAATGAAATTAATGTGTTAATTGACCAGAATAATACAAAAGTGCTAAATTGATGATGTACATTTAATGTACATGTATTCATTACATTGTGACTGTTATTAGATCTTACGTGTCTGGTTTTATATATATATATATATATATATATATATATATATATATATGTGGATTTTTTTTTTTCTGGGTTGGAACATCTGACTGGTTTCCCACAGGCGGCAAACTGCTTGTTTTTGAAGCCAAATGCTACATAGGTAAGCTTTTTTACTGCTCGTCTCTGTGGGAGTGGGGAGTACCAGCATGGTGGATGGTGGCTTCACTTTCGGGCAATCAGGAATCCAGTGAATAGAGATCAGTGCTCTACAGTAGCAGCTATTAAAAAAATGTCTGTTCCCAGTCAAACAGCAGCCAATCGGCAGCCCACTTTTTTTACCCGGAGTCCACTCTTTCACTGAATTACAGGGTCTGACCAGGAGATGGCGCTCTTCTTTAGATCTTAATGTCCACAAATCATGACAAAAAGAATATTTTACTACAAATATTGATGTTTAAAAAGGAATCTTAGGCAACCAGCAAAGAAAGGTGGGCACATTTTGAGTGGATGCTACTGTAACACTGTTCAGATCCTCTAGGACTTCTGCAGCACAAAAATGGCTTTATTGTTGATTTTAGAATTACATTTTTCTATCAAGTTTTAATATGGAAGTTTTTAGATTAAAAATGCAAATGAAGTTTTTATCTTTAATAACATCCACGTTTGGCTCCAGGGTTCCGGTCTCACCATTTTCACTGGACTTTAATTTAGATCTGAGCGTTAGCTGCAACTTCTCCTCCTGTATGGCACAACAGAAAGCAACTTTAGGAGTATTATCGCCACCTAGGGGCTTGGATGGGAAAGGTAGCATCTTAGTCTTTATCTTAACTTGAGCAAAAATCTTGTGCCTTTAAAATTGTTTGTTTAAAATAAAAAATTCGCAGTAAATGAAATCATGGAATCATGTTTGATTTCCTAACATCACATCAGCAACATGTTAGTCTCTGTAACTACCGTCAGTCAGAATCTCCCATCTAGTCGGCCATTATTCTCCCTCTGTCATTTCAAACACGGACATTTTCAGCTGCGTTTTGGCTCAGGTTTTCCTCCGGAACAATTCGTCCGTTTCTTCAGCCTCCTTCAAGCATCTAAGACCAGACTTTTAGCTTGTCAGGCGTTCATTGTACAGCCTTTACTAAAAAGAACGACACATTGTACGGCCTGTTTTTCCCCCCCAGAAACTTCGCTCAAATGTTGAAAATTTGCCAATCCGATGTAGGTACCAGATCTCCTCGTAGCCCCGCAGCTTCTTATGATGTCAACAAACAGCAACTCAACTCGGACAAACTATACTGCACCCGTTTCTTAAAGATTGAATCTCTTTTGAAGTTTCAACATATTATGACCTACATTTGCTATTGTTTTACATTTTATTGGCGATCTAAAGCAGAAAACAATCATTGCCAGTCCTGAATGACAGTACTGCCTTCTAAGACTGAGCTCTGCTATTTAACAAGATCACACAAGAATCTCAGAAACATCCAACAAACCGGCCACAATCAACCTTCCCGCCCCCTTAATAAACGACCAATCACATTAATTTTATTCACTCGTGTAAATTCACGCACCACTCAGGAGAATTCAGAAATGCAACGGTTGGAACAGCTGCTTCTCTACGACTTTAAGGTGTTAATTGAACTAAATACTAAAGTGGTTTGGCCCAGTTCTGGTCTGATAAAGAAAGAGTCACTGAACATGATCTCATGATGATGTCCAGAGCTACAGTGCTGCAGCTGTTGCCTCTGACTTTCTTCCCTACTTTAAACTTCTTGGTGACCTTTGGGTCGGCGCTGAAGGAAAGATTTCATAAAAACCCAAACAGGAAGTCTTTATCTTCTAAAACGCTCACAGGCAGATGTTTTATTTTTAGTTTAGTTTCACTACACTGGAAAAAAACATCTAGAAATAAAAGTTTATTTACTGTTATTGGAGTAGGTAAATCAGTTAGTTTGCCAACGGAATGAGTATTTTTACTCTTAAAATAAGATAATTAGATGAAATGCACTTAAAATAAGAAAATGCAAATAGTGTTTTCTTATTTTAAATGTCATTTGTCTTGTTCGATTGGCAACATGTCTCTTTTACCTCCTGAATCCAAGAACAAATGCACTTATTTTGTGTTGAACCATAAGAACCTCTGAGGAAAAAAAGCATTTAATGAATAAGTGTTGGCTTCAAATGCCCTAAACCTTCAGGTATTTGGATGAAGTTCTCCTCATTTTGGCCATGAATTAAAGCTCCTCATCCTTCTGCATAAAAGTATTGTGTCATCTGGACTGCCACAGAGCTAAAGGCTTAATTTCATGTTTAGCTTTTGTTTTCCTGGGCAAATGTGTTTATTAATCACATATTCAGTCTGAACTCATTCAGTCATTTCAGTCACAGATTAAACTTGAACATCTTTTGTTTCAGATTTAGGCTCTTTTCATGTGGCTCAGTTCTCTTCTTGCAGTACCTTCATTTATCCACCAGAGGGAGACATTCCCAACATTGCGTGCTGCAGCTAGGCATAAAAAAAAAAACTAAAAAACAGCAAGTTTTCATAAGAGCGTCACAACAGCAGAGCTAAGCCAAGAAGAAAACACAGAGTTGGAGGATAAAGGTTTGTTGGACAGACAGGGGACAGACAGACTGATGGACAGAGACACGGACAAGAAAGACCAGTCAGGATAGCCCACCGGTTACTGTTGTAGGAGGGAATATGGCCGCCACTCACAGCCACACTTTTGTTGTTGTTGGCTAATATTGTTCAGGAGGAGAGGAAGAGAAGGCAGATTAATGAGGAGGCAGAGAAAGACTGGAGAAAACTACTGCTACGCTAAATGTCGCTACGACGGCAGGAAGTAGCTAGCTAACCAGTGCGTCGTTTAACCCCGTCTGTGGTGCTGTCGCAGTACCTGGCGGCGGCAGCTCCAGCTTGGCCCTGCGGAGCTCCGTCATGGACGCCTGAAGCTGCTCGATCACAAAGTCGTCCTCGAAGAAGAAATCTTTGGCCAGCGTGACCTGAAGGAACTCAACCAGCTCCTCCATGGACAGCTTCATCAGGTGCTCTGCAGGCCACACACACACACACACATCAGTTCTAGCGTCTGCACACAGCTGCTGAGGGGGGGGGACAGCTGACTCACTCTTATGCAGCTTGAGGATGGTGTAGGACATGGCAGGCAGCACGCGCTCCCCCTCCAAGATGTAGATGTCCCAGATCCTGAGGGTGAGGGTGAAGGGCGTCTGAACGCAGACAGAACCAGAGGTTACAGTCCACCCAGCAGAACACCAGAACGGTGTCAGATGAGCATACCCAGTCAGACCAGCATACCCATAATCAATACTAGGGATGGAACGGTTTATGAAAACCGTTCGGTTCGACTGTCTCGGTTCGGTTCGCGTGTGTTTCGTTCGGTTCATGCGCTGCTCCTTTTTCTCATAGGCGAAGTGATTACACTCCAGAGCAGAAGGTGGCGGTACTGCGACCAAAGCCAACCACCAGTAGTAAACAAGAAGAAGAAGTGAAGCAGCGTAGCAGAAAAAAATCAGTTGTTGTGGAGAATTGTGTGGGTATGGCGAGTGGGAAAGAACAGGAGTTGGAAGACGCGCCAGCAGCACTTTATAGGTCTGCTGTATGGGACCACTTTGCATTTAGAGTGACCTACGATGACGGCGGAAAGAAAGTTGTGGATAAAAGTGCAACAGTGTGCAAGCATTGTGCAACACATGTTGTACAATACAAGACATAATAGATTTTCCTAATGACCGAAAACCGTGACCCGAACCCAACCGTGGATTTTGTGAACCGTTCCACCCAATACCAGTGTACTCCTTTAGTTTTGTACGAAATTACTTCATGTTTGATATTTTTTTTAAGCGTATGGCGATCTGACCTGAAATGTTGTTTTTTTGTGTGTGTAAATGACCAAAGGGATACACGCCCGTTGAGGTAGTTTAAAATTAATCTTTCGTACAAAACATAAGGGATAAACTCAAATCTGACGTCTTGCGCGTATGTATTGACTATAGGTATGCTAATCTGTCAGAACACCGGTTCTACTAAACAGTTCAGGCTAAAACTGGAACAGCTGTTAGAAACTTTTAAGCTGGGCATACGCTGTGTTGTTGCAAGCAGCTACCTGCTCACACTGTACATCTAAATACGTGGGACTCAGCTCCGCAGTAAGATTATGCTACTCAAACTCGTCTATCTGGAAGCCAAATGAGTAGAAGAGGAATATGAAGCTCACTAGAGTGAAACGCGCTGACTTGGCAATTTGTGCGATTTTGTGCTGAAAGCCCTAAAAAGAAAAGGCAACGACGTATTTGGACAAAGACATGGCTGAGCATTGCTCACATTTATGGAATGATCTAATATCAAGAATACATTATAGCAAACAATGGCTTAAATCATATTAAGAAGCTGCCTTTAGGAATTTTAAATGTCCAGCAGGTGTCAGGATTGATTGATACAGTATCCACAGTTTGTAAATGCGTCAAAACGCTTCATGACGCCTCATGAACTGAGTTACTAAAGGACAATATTGTCCCAAAGAACAAAAAAACTCCAAATAATCCTAAAATATCCTTTTCATAAACTTTTCAGAGTTTCAATCTTAGCTGTGTGCAAACTGTACGTTAATGAAACTGTAAGTAGGAACATGAGATATCCGCGCTGCGTCACGCCAACATATGACCGATAGGACGCAACGCTCACGATTCGCCAGATGTGAGCTTAGCGCGAGATTACCTGATACTAAAGCCTGTACGATGAAACCTAAAGGTTTAAAAGTTCTCATTTACGATGTATGTTCTCAAACCGACGCTGTGATGCGATCTAGCTGCTCACACTGTACGTCTAAAAACCAGGTGGGACTCAGCTCCGCAGTGAGATGGCGCTACTCTGACTTGTCTATCCGGAAGCCAAACGAGTAGAAGAGGAATATGAAGCTCACTAAAGGGAAACGCGTTGCCATGGCAATTTGAGCAATTTTGTGCTAAAAGCCCTAAATAGAAAAGGAAACAACGTATTTGGACAAAGACATGGCTGAACAAACATGGCTACTACCGTCTGTCAATTTTACAGAAAGAACTCCATTTCACTCGAACCCCGCCATGCTGCTGTGTTGCATCTCAGAGGAAGAAGAAGAAGAAGATCCTTTTTGTGCGCTGAGCGATTTGCCCACGACCTCCTTACGACGGGCGACTGAGTTTCAAACGTGTTTGATTTCCGCCTGACCTCACGATTCCTTATCAGGAGGTGGTTATTAGAGGCTGAAAGTCAGCCTAATTGGAAAATAATCCTAAATGGGCATAAAAATCGTGCAGTGTAAGCCGGGCTTAATGCAGGGTTCGTTTTGTCCGGCGTCCTGCACCTTTTAGATGTGCGTTGCTTCAAGGTGCAGGACGCTGCTGACCTCACTGCAAAGGGAAAATACACCAGACGCATTACAGTGCAACAACTGTTTTAAATGATTTCTAGTAGATCTGTGAAATGCTACCCTTTTCCCCACCCTATAAGTTCTCTGCTTCAGAAACACAAACTGTGAACATCTCTGTTGTATTTCCCTCTTAAGGATATTATCAGGGTTTTTCTTCTTCTGGGCTGGATGTACTCACTCTGTCCAGGAAGCACTGGAAGAACCACTTCATAGTGTACAGACTGGTGAACACCTCCTGGTTGTCCTGCAGCGGAGATCAAACATTGTTCAGCACATCCACCAGTCTGATCTGCCTGTTTGCTGCTGCTGTCTCTCACCAGATGTTGTTTCAGTTTGGGCATCGTCTTCTTCAGGATCCGGTCGTGGTGTTCCTGGAAACGCATCAACTTAGGGAAACCAGGGATGAAGAAGCCTGCAGGTCAGACAGAGCAGGTTCATTACCAGAGCTCACGAAGTTAGCACTGAAAAGGGTTTGTTTACTCCTGCTGCCTGTTTTTCAGTGTAGTCCTGTTTCTCTGACTGTGACTAACTGGATGTGCTCTCTTCATCCTCTGATATGGGAGTTGGCTTGTAGCTCGTCTGCCTGGCTGTGTGTTTCCTGGATACTTTTTCTATTTCTGCTTCTGTCTCCTTGAACCCCAGTCGGCCTCAGCAGATGGCCGCTCACACTGAGCCTGGTTCTGCTGGAGGTTTCTTCCTGTTAAAAGGGAGTTTTTACTCTCCACTGTCACTACAAGCATATTTAGTGTGAGGCATGGGCGTAGGTTTGCATAGGGAACATTTTAGCCCGACCTACTTGTCCCTACCAATAATTCTACGTGAATAACATGTTTATAATTTACAATACAGTATTGTTGCAGCCTTTGCTTCTTTTCTCACAACTTGTATAATGACGTTAACATTTTAAATGCTAAGTTTCAGTTCCTCTTAATGTTCCCACGCACATGTGAATACAATACATCTATTTGCAGTCCCTTGAATATGTTATTTTGCTTTGCTTTACAATACAGAGAATATCAGCATATCAGATAAAACATAAGAGTGGGTTTTACCTCTGCACAATTCTATTTGTTCCAAAGAAAGCACCGGTTAAAAACACATACAACAGACATATTTAGACTATATTTGGTTTGAAAGGCACATATTTACATTTCGTCTTAGTCACTGGTAAGTTCAAATGTAACCCTTTGTCCCAGTTTTACATTGATAAACAGCATCTTGTGTGTGTAGTCTTTATACGATTTGTATAAATGTAGCAATAAATGCTGTTTTCTCTTTAAACAAAATACGCTCTGATGCTCACGTCAAGCATAAAAAAAAAATAGGAGCATGCAGAATGCGTGGGACCAATGACATCAGAGCAATTCAACTCAAGACCAATAGTGTCCCTACTAGGGTTGAGATCAAACCTACGCCCTTTGAGTGAGGGATTGCCTTCAAGTCAATAGCCATTTCTCAATCTGTGTACTTGTGCATTTTCATGTGCTCGTGAAACGTCATCAGCCTCATCCCTAGTACTTTTCCAATTCACAAGAACAGAAGACCAAGAACAGCCAAAGTCCCCGGATGTTGTTCTGTCCCCTCCCTCTTTACCCAGCATGCATCAAAGCAGACTTTCAGGTGAGAACATTATACTTTAAGCATCACTATATGGCCCAGTTATTGATGTAGTGCGTAATTTAAAAAACAATTGCCAAAGTTGAGAGGACAGAGGAAACCAGCAAACCTCTAAGGCTAACGGCAGCCAGGGCTAATGTTAGCCCGTCTGCAGCAGCCCTCTCTCTGCATAGCCGTGTGTGAAGCACCGCTGTTTTTTGTTTTATTTGATAAAATGTTCATTTTTTTTGTGTTCATTATTATTCCCCCACTAAATGGAAAAAGTAAAAATTTATTATTATCTAGAGACTATTAATAACAGGAGGTGAAATGCAGCTCCAGACGAGCTGAGCGTGTGGTGATGTCATCAGTACGCTTCTGTTCCTATTGACCCATATTTATGCTGTGTGCTCCTGTTCTCCCAGAGTCCACACTTTCCTGTGTTCTTCTCAAGAACATATTTGGCGAGGACACGAGTCCGCACTCCCGTTCTACTGAACTGAGATACGGCCAATAAGTTGATGCAATCAACTGGTTTTCCTTAGATAGAAAACTTTGAATCAATGACTGGATGATCTGGTGAACTGTAAAGTGCCTTGAGATGACATGTGTTGTGAATTGGCGCTATAGAATTAAACTGAATTTAATTGAACTTTAGGAATAATTAGAAACTGCTTTATTTAATTGAAGCCATGTCCTCTTAGACGGACTTTCTTTCTTGTTGTAATGTGGCTGCTGTCCAGAAGAGGGCGACATTGTCCTTCCTTATAACCTTGTAGGTTATAAATATAGAGATGTTTTTTCCCCTCAGTTAAAGGCTGTTGTAATTAAAGATCCTCAAACCATTTAAACTTTGGTCCAGGTAGAGCTGAGTTTTACCGTGCATGGCGTGTTTGTGTCCAGACAGCAGTTTGACCAGAGCCCAGAAGGCGTCCTCCTCGTTCATGTAGATGAGCAGCAGAGCTGTGATCTGACTCATGCCCTGGCAGTATCCGACCTCCTGCAGACAACAGCGCTGTTACAACTCTGATATTAAAACATCTATAGGATCATTTTCTACTTTAGAATCAGCTGGTAACTCCAGCTGCTTTTAGCCAATCAGATTAGGTTGCTTTGGTCACATGGCTGGGAGCTAGAGCACACCCATCCAGACGGTGTTCTGTCAGACCAGCATACCCATCATCAAAACCCGTTTATCCCTTTAGTTTCGTACGAAAAATACCCTGTAAGACTCACTGTTGCAGAATTACAAAATTTTTTTGTCATCCCAAAAAAATAAACTTTTCTTGCATGTTCTCTGAGCAGGCGTGGGTTCTCTCTGGGTACTCTGGTGTTCTGTCAGATGAGCATACACAAAGTCAATATACCTGTTTATCCGTTTAAGTTTCTCCCTTTAGTTTTGTATGAAGAAAATACTTTAAACTACCTCAATGGGCATGTATTTGTGCAAAAAAACGATTTAAATACTTACCTTAAAGTTTTTTTTGTACATGACTAAAGGTCCGTTGAGGTAGTTTAAAGTCTATTTCAAATCTGATATCTTGCGCGTTCCTGTTGACTGTGGGTATGCTGGTCTGACAGAACACCGGAATCAGAACGTATTTGCTAGCAGGAAGGACTCACCGTGTTGTACATGGAGTAGGCCGTCAGGACATGGAAGAGTGCCTGCTGCCTGAGGAGCCAAACACAGCAGAGTCAGAACCGACGGGGTAGAAAGCACCGTTATTAAGTTCTGGTTAATGGGCCCAATGCTCCTAAAGGACCACAGTGAGGAGCTTCGTCACTGCAGCTGAGGACTTCATAAAGCTGCTTACTTGACGTCGTAGCGATGCATGAACATGATGTGGTCCCGGTAGGTCCTGTTCACGTCCAGGTCGATCTGCCGGACGTCAGGGGACAGAGCTCTGGCTCGGGCCTTCAGCTTCTACAGCAGAGAGAAGAAGAACCACCTGATCTAAACTGAACTGGTTAGAACCGTTACCATGGGAACAGAACCTCTATGGTGTCCTAAAGATGTCCTGAAAGACCAGCTTTGTTTCCTTGGTTCCTGGTTCTGAGTCCAACAGAATCTGACTTTTTAACAACAAACTTTAAGTCCAGATTCAGCCGTCTGTGTCAGAAGAGGTTTCTAGAATTTCCTTTTTTCATCTGAGGAATATTGCAAAAATTAGAAATCTCCTGTCCAGGGGTGATGCTGAGAAACTAGTCCATGCATTTGTTACTTCAAGGCTGGACTATTGTAATTCTTTACTATCAGGAAGTCCACAAACTGTAGTTAAAAGCCTTCAGCTGATCCAAAATGCTGCAGCCAGAGTTCTAATGAAAATTAAAAAGAGAGATCATATCTCTCCTATCCTGGCTTCTCTTCATTGGCTTCCTGTTAAATCAAGAATAGAATTTAAAATCCTCCTTCTCACATATAAAGCCTTAAATGGCCAAGCTCCATCTGATATCAGAGATCTGATTGTTCCTTATGTTCCTAACAGAGCACTTCGCCCTCAATCTGCAGGTTTACTAGTGGTTCCTAGAATTTCTAAAAGTAGCTGGAGTTGCAATTTCTGAAAATGTTTCTATAGTTATGCTGCTATAGGCTTAGACTGCTGGAGGACATAGGGACCCTATTTCCTCATTCTGCTTCATTCTATCTCTATTCTCCCACTCTGCAGAATCTGTTAGTTCAATCTCCAATGTCCTGCTATCTCTGCTTTTTCTCATCTTCATCAACTCTGTTCCTGTTTGGCTGTGACTCCATCCTGGAGAGAAATATCAGCTGTGCTGCTTCCATCATGCCTTTGTTGATGGCAGCAGCTGCTTTTTGTATCTCTGCTTCTGTCTGCCTCCTTCTATTGGGGGTTTCTTCCTGTTAAAAGGGAGTTTTTCGTCTCCACTGTTGCTACAAGCATGCTTAGTGTGAGGGATTGCATTCAAGTCAATAAGTCAATGCAATCAACTGGTTTTCCTTAGATAGAAAACTTTCCATCAGTTTGACTGGATGATCTGGTGAACTGTAAAGTGCCTTGAGATGACATGTGTTGTGAATTTGAGCTATAGAAATAAACTGAATTGAATTGAAGTCTGCAGAACCTTCAAACATCCAATTTCAGGTTCTACCACAGATTTTCAGTTAAATCCAGGTCTGGACTTTCACTAGGCCAAATATGAGGCTGATCTGATATGAAGCTGTTAGATGTTCAGGGAGGTGAACCTCTGGCCCAGTGTCAGGTCTTCTTCCCAATTTATCTCCATCCATCTTCTTTGTCCCTCACACGGATAGTTTTCAACCATCTTCCAACAGATTTATGGAGGCCACCAGATCATTCCTACCTCATAGAAGTCTTTCTTCTCCTCTTTGATTTTGGGAATGTCGAGCAGCAAACCCCATACCTCCCCTCGGAGCTGCAGAGGAACGCCCTTATAGATCCTCCGGAACAGCTGGAAGGAGAAACATCTGCTGTTAGGATGGACCGAGGCCCTACAAGAGGAACCCAATGTTTCTGAACCGGTTCTGCTCAGACGATCAACAGGTCTGGTTTGGATCCCTTCCTCCAGATCCGGAGGATATTAAACACCTCATGTTCGACCAAACGAAGCGTCTGAATCATCAGTTGCTGCAGCAATAGTCCTAAGAGGCTGTTCACAGTGGAGTTCAAATTAAAAGCAGTCCAATACGTTTTAGTAAAGGTGTAGGAAACCAACGTACCTAAATGGGACGTGAATTACTAACTGAAAGAGGCGCGTTAAAGAAAAACCATGGCAACCTTACTGCCACCTACTGGTTTGTGACGTCACGGTGCGGTATCGGCTGTTGATCAAGTCCCAGTGCTGTATCTGGTGTTTGTCACAACGCACTATTATCCAAGTCATCTTGAAAACATTCTTCTTCCAAATGTTGGCTACATATGACGTGTTTTTTCTCTGGCCAGAAGTTCCATGGCAAATCCTCCCTCTTCAAGTTGGCGATCCAACGACCAACCCGTCCGTGGAGGATCAGGAATCAGAAAGGTGAATTGACAATTTTTTTTTCTTTTACTTTTGCCTGATGCATTGCACAGGGATTAAAGTATTCTGGCCCAGGTTTACGGCTCGTAGCGATTGCCCGTTGGTAAAAAAAAAATCACTCAAAAATAAATTGACGGTAAATAAATAAAAAAAAGAAGGAATTAAAATCCCCTTTGCGTTTGTCAGCCAATGGTAACAAAGGAGCGCTCTGAAACTAACAGCATTAGCCAATCAGAAGAAGAAGGGGCGGGTCTTAGGAAAGCTTGTTCCTCCTGCTCTAGTTTCTTGCTCAAGTCGCCAGATAGATTGTGGTTCAGTGCTGAAGTTCTACATGTTCAATGAAGAGACGTGCAAAAAGGTAAAAAAACAAATAAATTCAACTTTGTGTTTGGAGAGACGGCGGATAGAGAGAACGGAATAGCATGAAGTGGGCTCAATGCACTTCATGATGTCACGATCATAGATAAATGTCTGAAAAATCAATGGCGCTGGGCATGGCTGGAGGAGACAGGGCGAGATGGCGAGCCATTTAGCAGCTGGAGCAGGAAGTTAGGTGAACCAGGCGCTTGCTTCTGCACGCTGTGCTCCAGGAATGCTTATTTATCATCCATCGGCAACGCAAACATGAGTAAGACCCTGATCATCAAGCTGCTGTTCATGCTGTTCCGTACACTATACATTAGCCGGGAGCTACAGCAACAGCTGGTTAATTTATACCGTTAAGGACAACACTTAGCAGCTAAACTGGATATCAAACCCGTAGTGTTTACATTGCTAGGGAGTACCAATATGGCGGCCGGTGGCTTCACTTCAACCCTATACTACCATCGGACTATCAGTAATCCAGTGAATGAATAGAGATCAGTGCTTCCAACCCTCTGGTTCTGTTCTCCCATCTAGTTTTGGTTCTGTTAGCAGAGAACTGGCCCAACAGTCCCTCCAAATTCTTTAAGTTAAGAGCCGTAAATGTTTGCACAAGTCTAGAAACGTAGATCTATGCATTAGTAGAAGAGTCACCTTGTCGCTGTTCTTGTATTTGTCCCAGCTCTTTATCATCTTCAGCCACTTGCCGGTCCTCTCCACCTCCAGGTGTTTTTGCTGTGAACGTTAGAAACAAACAGCTTCATGGGACGCGGCGGAGAAAGAGAAATGATGAGAATCACCGCAGAGTTCACGCAGTTCACAAACTGAAACATGTTTCATCATTTTATTTCTCCCACAGCTGCTGGGAGCTTCAGGTTTCAAAACATTATCACCAAACAGGTGATAAAGGTGGAGAACAAACAGAAAGGATGGAGCAGAGGAAGCGGCACCAACCTTGGCCTCCAGCGAGTCGTAGGACGGAAGTTCACTCTCACTGTGGGAGAGAAAAACAGAATTTAACCTGCAGTTTGATGCTTGGAGTTTTCCTTCTTGAAAAAAGCTGTTACTAGTGAAGGGTCCGGCACTAGTGATGCGTTGGTGAATCCAGCTCATAGAGTCATGTGATCGATACAGGAGGTGTTTCTAACTGACCGACACAATAAAACTATGTTTAAAAAACGCATCTACTAAAAATGTCTCGTCCCTCGCGGTTTATCATTAAAATAATCAAGAATTTTGGAGCAGCCTAAAAGGAACAGGAACGTTTCAATCGTTGCGTATTTATTTTAATTGTCTCGTAGTGTCATCCTTTTCCTCTCAGTTATCACTCAGCTTATCTGAATTAAAATTATTAATATCAACTTATTATTTACTGTTTTTAATGTACTTATTGTTTTAAAATTAGGATTTAAAGTCGTAGGGAAGCAGCTGTTCCAAACGTTGTATTTCCGATTTCTCCCAAGTGGTGAACGAGTTTACATGAGTGAATAAAGTGAATGTGATTGGTCGAATATCAAGGGGGCGGGATTGTTGTAGTGGAAGGTTCGCCAGCAAGTTTGGTTGTAGCCGGTTTGTCGGAAGCATCTTGCTAACCAGTTAGCAACTTAGTGCTAGTAGGTTCCCAATGGGAAATTCCATTGGGACCAAGTAGCACTAAATAGTGACTTAGAAACGACACTGTCAAGGAACGCTATGGACAGAGGAAACATGCAAGAGGAGGAGAGTTTAGTGTCAGAGGTCGTGGATGAGTCTCCTCCGTCATCCATTTTTTATTTAGAGGAGGAAAGCGGGGACGAAGATGTTGTGGAAGAGGACGCCAGGGCGGCAGAAGCTTGGTTTGGTGTAGAAGGCTTACAGCCGTACATGTTTGAGCCCTTGCCTCGCAACGCTGCCAGTTCTGTTAGCTCTACGCCTGCTGAAGACACAGACGTCCATCCCCGTGAACACTGGGACGGAACTCAGTGGGAAAGGAAATTATTCTGATTTCTTATTTCAACCGTATATTAGCTGCAACATATGAATCAAGATGCTATGACCGAAAAAAATTGATTGGCCGAATTTAGGTGTTCAAGCTGACGTATAACTAACTATCCTGCAAAAGATAACGAAAAAAAACCAACTGATTTTAAGACAGGATTTTTTTTAAATAGAAATTTTCTAAATTTTGATAAAGAGTACATTTATATATATCGAACTTCGACTTAAAGATGACAAGTTTAAAATGATTCCAGTGCTACTAGAATAAAGTGAATTAAAGACCTGGTTCCATATTTCTCTGCAGCTTCTCTGTCAGTAAACACAGACCCCAGCTGTCTGTAACAGCTTTGTGGACCTGAGGACACATCTGGTCCTGTCTGGAACCAGAAGCTCCGCCCCCTCATGTCTGTGTCCGACCCCCCGCCCGCCTGCAGCGCTGTGTGGATGGCAGCTCTCGGTCCTGACACTGATGCTCTATGATTATGGCTAACCAGAAGGCCTCCCTCCTGCACGTCCTGGTCTATAAATACTTTTAACACTGAGCTGTTTATGAAGGGCTGAAGCCACAGACACTTAGGCTGCTGTGGACCGAATGTAGTGGGATCTTACTGGACAAATCCAAAGCGGTCGATGACTTTGTAAAGGTGGAAGTTGGTGTCCTCCCAGGGCTCCACGACGGCCTCTTTTCCCTAAAAAAAACAAAAAAAAACAGAGAAACATCAACAACACATGTTTGCCTATTTTTTTTTTTTTTTTAAGTAAATATCTAGTAGATTATGGTTCCCATTGAACATCCTAGTCTCTTCAGTTTTGCTATATTTTATTAATCTTACCTTAAATATGATTTCGATTTGTAAGTTATATACTATTATGATGCTACTTCATTATACTACTTTTTCTTTTCCATGTAAATCCATGTGAAATGTTTTATATATGAAATATGGAGTATAAATAAACATTTTACTTACCGTATTTTCACGACTATAAGGCGCACTTAAACGTCTTTTTTTTCCCTCAAAATGTGCGGTGCGCCCTATGTGTGTTGTAACTGCGACTTTTGAGACCACCTCATTGAGGAGATGATGAAAGAGTGGCTGAATGTAAGGAGACCAGGTGGGTTTTTTTCCCACTCATCACCATTAATCTCTGACTCCATGCGTGCCCATCTCACAGCTGATGTGAAAAACATGGGGAAACAAATTAACCCTGTGCTCGCTGTTCAACCGCTCGACATCGGTGTGAACTGGACCCAGCAGGTGCAGCAGAAGCAGCGAGTTTACATGCAAAGTCAACGGTTGACGCGCGTATAGGCGCAGCAAAAGGTCCCGCAGCGCGTTTTGGTGCAGCATGTCGGGAGCGTTTAAGCATCTGATGCACCGCCAACGCGCTGCTGCTGCTCAGATGGAAAAATTGAAGTTTTGCTGCTGGAAGCGCCGCATCAACCAATCAGAGAAGCTGATCTGGGAGCTGGCAGCGAGACAGACAGCGCTCTGATGACATATGATATTAACGCAAATGAAAAGGCTGGGTGAACGCTGTGCTCGCCGTTATCCCGGGGGTCTGACAAAGGAACTTCCACCGCTCGACATCGGTTTGAAGCGGCCGTTCACAGTAAGGCTGCGAGCGGCGTGGGAGCGATGGATGGCAGACTGAGACCACAGTTTCAGGATAAATGGAAGGCAACGCTGGGCAAGTTACGCCACCGTTTGCGGATGGATTGTAGATGGACTGTGTCTGCTGGCTCTGTTGTTCAAGCTTTCGCAAAAGCCGGCATTATTTCTGAGGAGCTGCGCTGCACGGAAAGTGACTCTGACAGCGCAGAAGGGGAAACTGGCATGTCTGATTTAGCGCAGCTGTTTTATTCAGAGGAATGCTGAGGATAACAGAGGATGATGACTTTGATGGGTTTGATTAATACTTTGTAATAAATATGAATAAAGCACAATCATACTCAGGTTTGCTCCCGCTCTATTTTTCTCCCTGAAAACTTAATTCAACAGCAGCCTCTGAGCGCGTCTCCTCCGCTTCACCGCGGTGGCTGGCAGGTGTTTTTTCATCTAAATAATCTAAATCTTGCAGCTATATTTGCTGTGATCAGTGGGAATAAAGTAGTTTTAATATGTTTTTAAGTGAGAAAGTCCACCTGAAAACTTCATAATTGCAGTCAGTTCATCCAGGTTATCTATTTCTGTCGGAGGCGCTCAGACCCCCACATACCAGCGGTGCACCCACAGTAGAAATCCCTTCATCAGCAGCCTCTAGGCTGGGCAGCCTGGGGTTCACCGCGGCTGCTGGCAGGTGTTTTTCATCTAAATAATTTTAGCTGCAGGCACCAGGATACCGGTAATAAAAGCGAACATATTCCGTCAGCAGGTTTCAGGATTTTAAGTTAATTTAGGAGTGATCACAGCGCTCTGTCATCTGCGATGTGTCTGTCTCACGGCCAGCTGCCAGGTTTGATTAATACTTTGTAATAAATACATGAATAAAGCACAGTCATACTCAGTTTTGCCCCCGCTGTATTTTTAAATACGCAGTAGAGCTATTTAAAGGTAGTAGAGGACTTGTACCTGTATATAAAAAACGCGCCCTATAGTCCGGTGCGCCTTATGTGTGTGTTAAATACAGAAATGGGACACATAACTGAGACTGCGCCTTTTAGTCCGGTGCGCCTTATGGTCGTGAAAATACGGTAATAGAATTGTTTCCGTGGCACCGCTCTCCAGTGGTTTAGGTCATACCTTGCAAACAGGAGCTTCTCTTTTGCGATTGGTGACCACTGCTCCTCAAAGGCATCGCTGCCCTGTGGGGTGCCACAGGGATCTATTCTCGGCCCTATTCTGTTTTCTTTATATATGCTACCTCTGGGATCAATTCTAGAAACACACAACCTGTCTTTTCACTTATATGCCGACGACTTGCAGATATATTTGCCCTTGAAACCAAACGAAAACACTGCACTTATTAAGCTACTGGACTGCATCACAGATATAAAGCAGTGGCTGTCACAGAAGTTTTTGCTCTTAAACGACAGCAAAACTGAACGCATTTTGTTTGGTTCTCCATCTATTTCAAATGTTCTCACCACAAACTCTACCAATCTGGCCCCCCTTTTTAAATCCCATGTCAAAAATCTCAGGGTAACATCTGATAATGGGCTCAAATTTGACAAACAGATTCGCTCCGTTGTCAGCTCAAGCTTTTTCCAGCTCCGTCTTTTGGCCAAAGTCAAGTCCTTTCTCAGTCGGCAGGATCTTGAGAAGGCAATCCAGGCTTTCATTAGTTCAAGACTGGACTACTGCAGTGCCCTTTACGTTGGCCTCAGTCAGTCATCAATTTCTCGTCTTCAACTTGTGCAGAACGCTGCTGCCCGATTTGTAACAAACACGTCCAGACGTGAACACATTACTCCTTTGCTGTCGTCACTCCACTGGCTTCCAGTCCGTTTTAGAATTGATTTTAAACTTCTGCTGTTTGTTATTAACGACATTCATGGCTTGGCCCCCTCTTACTTGTCTGAGATTTTAACTTTCCGCAATTGTGGCAGAGCTTTGCGCTCCTCGGGTCAGCTTCTGCTAGAGGTCCCTAGGTCAAGACTCAAACAGTGGGGCGATCGTTCTTTTGCCGTCGCTGCTCCCAGACTGTGGAACAAACTAACCCCTGACATCCGGTCCACTACTGACCTCAGCCTTTTAAAAAAAAGCTTAACACCCACTTTTTTAAATTAGCATTTAATTCCGACTATAATACTGTCTCTTAGATGTCCTCTTTCTGTGTGCTCCTTTCTATGCACCTCTGGAAGGCTTTTAATGTCCTGCAGCACAGCACCACTACAGCACTTTTAATTGTATCTGTATGTTTTTTATGTGTTATGTATTGTTTTATAGCTTTGTTATTAGTGTTGCACCGATACCGATACCAGTATCGGACGGGGCCCCGATACTGCCCTAAAATGGTTTTATCGGTATCGGCGAGTACCAACAAATAGGGCGCCGATACCATTTTGAGAGTCAAAAGTTTATTCAACTATTGTCACCCATTCCAGGTAGGAAATAAAAAGTTCTACTGGATTCACTTTGTATTAGATTTTTTCCTGCTTCAAAAAGGTAGGCAGCAGCTTGACAAAGCCATGATGGCAATTATTTTACATTATTATGGTATCGGTATCGGCCGATACTGCACAGCCAGGTATCTGGGATCGGTATCGGGGCCAAAAAATGGCATCGGCGCAACACTATTTGTTATAAAGCACTTTGGGTACCATTTGGCTATTGTAAAGGGCTATACAAATAAACTTGATTGATTGATCTTTAAAGTGCCCTGACATTACATGAGTTGTGAATTGGTGCTATATAGATAGACTAAATTGAATTTAATTTACTTGCTTTGCCTTGTTCGATGACATACATTTAGAGTTATAATGATAGACACATGACAACAATACTATGACCTCCATATTTGGCATACCTCACAAATGCACTAAAACGAGGTCATATTTCACCAATTATGTGTCAAACTGGCACAGGGCTGAGTCAGTTCAGCAGCCCTGAGCCACAACAGGAAAAGCAAGTCCAGCTTTAAAAAATTAAGCTAAGAATGAAGCTCCAAGTATTTCCTTAGTTAACAAGTTGATCAAACACTTAATCTGAGCCACCACCACCTGAGAAGAGGCGGAGCTTCCTCCATCAGGTGCGTTTTGTCCACGGCTGCTTCAGGGATCCAGCATGTGGATCCCAAAGGGTCTGGATGTTAAATATAAAAATAAAACTTATAGGAAGTGATTTCCTGCTGCTTTATAAATCAATTTTCCAAAATTTTCCAGGCTATTAGTGGAAACAACTGTCAGCAGTTAAAGGGGCGGAACAATCAATCTTATTGGCTGATGTGAAATCTGCCTGTGCCAGCCATTGGTTGTTTAATCTGTCACTGAAAGCAATCTCTAAAGGCATATTTCAAAGTTTTTAAAGATTTTTAGCACTTTTTATCTATATTTATGAACATATTTACCAACTTATTTTTAACTAAGACATTAAATCCATACATTTTAAGTCGAACAAGTATTACAGAAGAAGATATTAAACCAAGATCTATACTTTTTTTTTTTACTTGTGGTTTTAACACTGGGTTACAAATGCATCAAAACGCCACCAGAAATAATCATCAAAGGTCGACCTCCATCTCTGTATCTATGATGTCATATTTACTCTTACTAGAAATGGTTAATGATTCATCACAGCAAGAAGAGGGGGAAAAAAATAGATTTAATGTCGGTAATTACAGCCCTGAAAGAGAATCGGAATCAGCAGTAGCTCAGAGCTTTAAAATCAGCTGAAAAACATTCCTATTAGCCCAGATCCATTATTATTGTTGTTTTTTTTTGTTTTTTTTACCTGTTTGAAAGCAGGAGCAGGGGAAATGGGGCAGAAATAAAAAAAGTAATCCTATTTCAATGTGACCTTTAACCTTTAACACTAGAACTACAAAGGCCGTCATTTTGACTGTTCTGAGATTTTAAAGGGAAAGAACTTAATTTACATTAACCATATGTTGCTCATGTCAACTGACTTTTACCATTTATATATTTCCTTTATTTTCATGTAGTTTTTTTTAAATAAAATAAAAAAGTAAAACACAAATATGTTGATTTTACATTGATCTTCCACAGCCGTCATTTTGTCGGCTCTATTAGTTGAATTGTCAATTCTTCCCGCGGTCGATTGACGTTTGTACCGTTGCCTAGCAACATTCTACCAAGAACTCTTTGGCTAATATGGAAAAAATTGTTTTCAGAAGAAAGCTAACAGCGAAACAGGCTTTAGAAATGCTTCAAAATATTGAAGATGAGATTCGGGTGGAGAGGGACCGATGTGGACGACTGGTCGGAAGGAAGCGGCTCAGATTCTGATGTTTGCCCGTCCCCCGCGATCTACATTAAAGGAGAAGTTCGGTTTTTTACACTTTAAGCCCATTTTCTGTAGTGTCCAGGATGAAATCGAATGATCGACACCAAAAGTTTGACAATTGGTCCTGTCTCTGCTTTTTGGCTCATTTAGAATCCACCCCTGGCTGCTTCATAATGGCTGCCATTGTGCATGTCCGATAATGTCCTTAAAACAACCTTAAACATTCTTTTTTTAAAATATGCTACTCACCGGGTCGTCAGCGCTGTTCAATGACGTTCCAAAAAAAGTTTCGTAAAGAAAAAACGTTCCTGTAGTGTTTTATTTAGCATTTTGTAAATCCCATTGAGTTCTGTAGGAATAGTCAATATTCCGCTGCCACCGGAAACGGAAATGGAGCCTGTTTACACAGTTGTAGTCTTTTCGCTTCACTCTGTGTACTCCGACGTCGAGAATCAAGAATCCACCTTTCGTATTCCATTTTCAGAGTTTTTTAAAGTGTTTAACAGAGACGTTAGCACCTCGACGTCGGAGTACACAGAGTGAAGCGAAAAGACTACAACTGTGTAAACAGGCCCCATTTCCGTTTCCGGTGGCAGGGGAATATTGACTATTCCAACAGAACTCAATGGGATTTACAAAATGCTAAATAAAACACTACAGGAACGTATTTTCTTTACGAAACTTTTTTTGGAACGTCATTGAACAGCGCTGACGACCCGGTGAGTAGCATATTTAAAAAAAAGAACGTTTAAGGTTGTTTTAAGGACATTATCGGACATGCACAATGGAAGCCATTCTAAAGCAGCCAGGGGGGGATTCTGCATGAGCCAAAAAGCAGAGACAGGACCAATTGTCAAACTTTTGGTGTCGATCATTCGATTTCATCCTGGACACTACAGAAAATGGGCTTAAAGTGTAAAAAACCGAACTTCTCCTTTAAGAAAGAAAAAACAACCTTGAACAGAGGGGGTAGACTTAGGCCCCGTCCACACGAAGTCAAAACGAACGAAAACGCTGCAAAATGTATGCCAGGCCTGTAAGTGGCGCTGTGGTGCCAAAGCAAAAATAGGCGAAAACAGGCAACGAAATGTTGGGCATGCGCAGTAATATTTATACAACAACCAAACCGGAAAACCGGAAAATGGCCCTGCGGGTCCATTTTCGTGGTTCAGTCAAATTCAGGTGATGAACTATGTCGTCTATATTGCTCTGTTCTTCCTGGAGATATTCCAGAAGAAGAAGATTCTGTTGTAAGCCCGACAGCAGGGTGAGTAGCATTAGCAGCAACCATTCAACACAGTACGGCGCCATTGTTGTTGTGATATTGTGTCGCGCATGCGTGTTTAGAGACGACGCTATGACGCATGCTTGTAAAAAAAAAAAATGCGGTCAGACCTTAAAGATGGAAACGCGAAAACGGCGTTTCAAAATCTTCCCACTCTGAAGGCTTAATAAAAAAAAGATCGCTTACAGACCCCGAAACGCCGGCTTCGTATGGATGAGAGGCTGGTTTGGTGAAAAATCTGTGCGTTTAGGCCAGGGTTTGACTTCGTGTGGACGGGGCCTTAGGGTCCAGCTTTCAAAAACTTACAACGCAGCTATTATAAGTTTTGTTATCATTTTGTTATCATATCAAGTTCTGTTATCATAGCAGCCCTAGCCCCTGCACAGGAGAGAGGAGGACCTCGTCTATTCAGCCAGGCCAACAATCCCCTTTAACAACCGACCTTTCCGATACTTCTGCTACGTTGACACCTAAAGCAGCAGCAGAAGCAAAAACGAGTGTGCTGCTTCAGTTTTGATGCTTGTCCAAGTTTAGTTCTGATGCGCGTCTGAAGCATCTTAGCAGCTCTAGCTGCGCGGTAGAAAGTGGGTCTGATGCGCGTTGGGCGGAGCTACCCTATCCTTTCTTTGCCTGTAACAATGGCAGCTATATGTGCTGTGATCAGTGGGTAAAAGGTAGATTAAATGTTTTTAAGTGAGAAAGTCCCCCTGAAAACTTAATCAGAGCAGGGCCAGGTGCTTCAGCCCCACACAGAGAAACGCTCATATGATGTTTGTCATAAATGTGAAAAGGTGGTAATCAATCAATTTCAAACTTTGAACCTGTGTAGTATAACAGTCTTATTTTACTGATTCATTTTTAATACAAATTTAGGCCATAAATAATAATAGCGTTTGAAAAACATATTACATCTATATCCACAATGGGTTTATATCGCACACTAGAACCATCTCAGTTGGTGACATCATCACTACTCGTACGTTCCATTGGGAAAAATGTCTGCCGTCAAATTGAAGGCCAGTGAGAGTTCTAGTAGGATCAGAATTCTGGGAGTCTTGGTGTCAAAAAGAGGTCAGCTTCTGACAGACCTGAGAGGTTCAGAGGCAGAGACCTTTCCTCTGCTCACTTCTCTCAGAATGTGGTGCCGTTCTGTTGATACCAGAACTATGACCTGCAGTCCACCGGAGCATAAAGTCAGTAAAGGATGGCAGGTTTGGCTCCACAGCTCTGTCTGACAACCAGATGTTGAGGTAAAATATCTAAAAATTCATCTCCTTTCTGTTCTCCCTGCCAGCATTTCATCCGCTACCTCAGCAGAAACTCCCCGTTTTAAATAAATAAATCCCTCTTCAGAGCTTTTATTCACCACAGACCACCAAGGGAAGATTAATTACCTCACAGTATTAGTTCTGTTTTAGTCTCTTGCTCAGTCCTTGTAATTATTTAATAAAACCAGCTGTTCATTGAACCCGGGCTTTCTTTTTTTTTTTTTGTCGGAGTTAACGCTTTAACATAAATGAAGCACAACTGTGTTAAAGTGAGAAAAAGCACTAAAACCCTGATGGTGGCTCACAGTAAAACACTTGAACAAACGCCTCCATCATCTCCACAGCCTCTAGACTCCTAATGAGGCAACTTGATAGCAGCCTGCTGGATGATATTTTATCCACTGGGTTAAAGAGAAGACATCAGGAGCTCCTGAAGAGAGAGAAAAAGTCGCCTCATGGTTTTAATGGCAATAAATGCTACATGTTGAACAGTAACTATTAAGCTGTGAGGTAATAGTTATATAATGTCTGCCTTGTTGACAAGTATTTTTCATCATTTTCAAAGGAAACATGCAGTAATTAAAGTCGTAGGGAAGTGGCTGTTCCAACCGCTGCAGTTCAGTTCTCTATAGTCATGCTGCTATAGGCTTAGACTGCTGGAGGACATAGGGACCCCTTTTTCATCATTCTGCTTCACTCTATCTCTATTCTCCCACTGCAGAATCTGATGAGTCAATGAGTTGATGCGATCAACTGGTTTTCCTTAGATAGAAAACTTTTAATCAATCTGACTGGATGATCTGGTGAACTGTAAAGTGCCTTGAGATGACGTGTGTTGTGAATTGGAGCTATAGAAATAAACTGAATTGAAATTTAATTGAATTATAGGCGCCGAGGCTGAGATTTACAGGCTGCAGAGCCTTAGAGAGGGAAGCACCTGTAGAAACTGACAAGGACTCCAGTGCGAGCTGAAGGAAAAAGGAGGGTTGGGTTAGCTTCTACCTTGTCATATTTGGCGACGATATCCGCCCGCTCCTGGTCCAGTCTCACCGCTGCATCCTGCTCCGTATCAGAAGCTGGAGATAAAAAGAGGAAAAGGATTAGAAAATGAAGAAAAAATAATGCCCAAATGGCTTTAGATTCACGATCCTTCAGGAAAATATTCACTGGTTTTTAATCAGACTGGTTCCACATGTTGGGTTCTGTGGCTCTCTGGGCTGCTTCTGTCCTTATGTTTGCTCAAATTTTTCTGTTTTTTAAACTTTTTTTGTGGAATGACTTAGAATATTCACCAGCTTCAACTGATGGTGTTTCTGTGTGTAAAGAAGCAGCAGATGGACAGATCACGACCGGTTACACTAAACAGAACAGATCGGTCCAAACTACAAACCATTTCACTCTCCACCAAAGATGAGAAAACCTTAAACTGACGACCAGAAGGACAGAAGAGATCAGGACCGTCTAATGTTGAAAGAAAGTCAAACTGCAACAATGCTGGATTTAAAAAGGTTAAAAAGCACAAAGTCTTCTAGTTTCGGCTTTCCTCCTCATGTTCCTAACTAGCTGCCTTGACACGTCAGATGGCTGTCCTGTCACCACAAGCTCGCTTTGTGTCACTCCAGCCGGAAACAAACACCAGTTCTCTGAGCTGCCAGAGCAGAGCCAGCCTGACCTCAGAGACGTCTGCGATTAACAAACCAACACCTCAGAGCTCCTCTGACCTGGAAACCAGATCCAACAACATCGCCCCTAAAACCTCCTCCTCACCTCCTCATTGCAACTGAACACTACCTGAAGCCATAAATCCCCCAGACCAATGCCTCTGTCTCCACATGCAAAGAAAGACAGCAACCTTAAAATCAATTTCTTATGACATGCTTTGGGTTTCTTGGGTAACTTTATCAGAACTGATTCCCTTCAACAAAAACTGGAGCTTCAAAAATAAAGATGGACGTAAAAATCTCAGTTTTAAAGGTGAAAGAAAGAACAGAGCTAAAAGGATAAACACCAGTAAAACCATCCAACTTGAAAACTATACAACCAGCTAGAGGCAATATCAACCATTGATTAATTGACATAAGATATGATAGAAATATCATGACGTCATTCCAAAAATCCAACCAGAAAAAAACCCCAGACCTAAGATGAGCGGAGTGGTGTATGCAGTGCAATCAGAGGCGACTGCATACACTGGATGCAACAGTCTCTTCATAGAAACGTTTTCTAAGCGTGGCCAGGCAATAACCAACCTTAAACAGAGGGGGTGGACTCGGGTTCCAGGTCTCAAAAAACCTAAAATGCAGCGATAGAGTTGATTCTTTCCTGCCATCATCTCAATCATCACTATGCAGGGGACTGAAACATCTTTCCTGATCAGCCAGGTCAACAAAGACCCTAACGACTCCTTTTTCAGAGTTGCCAGTATCGGGTATTGCAGGCCAACAACAACTCCCCATTACTAAGGGGTGGACCTGTTCTTTCGTTTCAATTTGCATGTTTTCTATGCCAAAAAATGCCAAAAAAGGCTTTGTTGGGTATAAAAGATTGGAACTCAACACTAATCCAGATATTTTGAATGTGTGTTTGTTCAAGTCTTTGTTTCCAAGTATTAGGGGTTCCTCAAGGCTCCATTCTGAGGTTCCTCCTATTAACCATCTACATCCTCCCAAGATCAGTTACATAAACTATGCAGACGACACACAGCTTTACATCACAAAGTCAAGTGGAATTACAGACTTAATTACTCAGCAAAATCTTGATTTTATGTTTTTAACAGACATTGCTTAATGAAGATAATGAGATGCCTATTTTATGGAAGAGTAAGTTATGAAAAAGTGATCGTGGGGCCCTGTTCGAGCCGTGTTTGTGAATGTTTACAGGCCCCCAATGTTCAAAGCAAACTTTTTTAATGATTTCAATGAACTTTTATCTCTGATATGTATTGGACATGTCTACATGTTGACAATCCTAAAGACAAAGGTGCAAAAGAACTGTGTGATACAGTTAAAAGTTTTTGCTTTGACTCAACATGTTATACAGCCAACAGACAATCGAATATATATTTAAGACCTGCTCACCAGCAAAGGTCTAAATATTTCTAATGTTTCTGTAACTGATGGTTCTCTATTAGACCATTTCTCTGTTGACTTTCAAAACATTTTTCCAACTGATCTAATGACCAAAAGAAAGGCTATAAGAAAGCTTGTTATCATTGACAGTAGAATCAATAACTTTAGCCAGGATCACACTCTGCCTTTACTTTACCCTGTAACTCAGTAGATGAGCTGGTTGATCATTTCCATTCTAAAGTTGCCGACATCATTTATTCCATTGCTCCAGTTAAAGTGAAAATTCTCTTTGGGAAGATGAAATCTCTATTTTCTAACAGTGAGGAAAGAAAAGCGGGAGTGCTAAAAAGCCGAACAAAGCTGCCGAAAGAATGGTCTCTGGGTTGACTATGAAAGTAATTAAAGGCACACTATGCAACGTGTTTCAGTTAATTAATGTGTTCTATAACGTTTTGGATGATTAAATGAGTCATTTCAGGTTGAACAAAGGTATTCACGGCCGCCCTGGTGGTCTGTAGGGGAAATACCGTACTTGCAATTGCAGGAGCCCTCGGCCCGTACCCACAGGCTCAGAAGTCTCATGCATCGCGAGAGCTGGTCTTGCTTTACGGCGAGAACTGCTACACGCCCCCAGTGAAAGGCATACTCGTTGCTAGCGCAGTGGCGATATTTGCGCAGTTATCATGGTGGAACCAGCGAGAAAACAGCCAAAGCCCATGTTGGAGCAGGCAAGAAAGAGGAAAAGGGCTCTGGACAGAGCTCAAAACAACCGCGCCTGGCTTGACGGAGAAACCAGGAGAACAGCTGAGCATAGTTACCACAGTGCACTTTTACTTTCGCCCTCTGGGGGGAGCCTCGCTGGAAAATCAGCACCGGTTGCATAGTATACCTTTAAGAGAAACTTCATACATATAATTTAAAACTAAGATCAAAGATGACATTCAATCGCTTAGATTAACAAAAAACATCAACAATGTTCATGGTCAACAGGTTAGCAAACTCTCCTATCTCTATGGCCGATTAATTTAAATCTAAAAAGGCCTGCAATGACTTTACTGAGAAAATACAGGATATTAGGGAAGTGTCTGTACAGCAACACAAACTCCAGTACCAATGCATGTTACAATAAACTCTGTTGAAATGTCCCAATTCTGTCAGAAAATTGCAAAAGTTTAAAAGAAACTGCTAAAGTTAAACTCCTCTTCTGCTGTCTTGATGTTTTACCCACAGGTTTTATTAAGAAGGTTTTGCCTGCTTTAGAGTTTGATCACAAACACGTCCCTAATGTCGAGTGTTTTCCCCAGGGCCTTAAAAACACCAATTATCAAACTATTGTTAAAAAAAAAAAACTTGGCCAAATTGGTCCTGCAGAATTACAGGCCCATCTCAAAGCTCCCGTTCATCAGTGAGATTATTGAAAAACTTTGATTTCAACAGTTAAATGCCTTCTTGACAGTAACAAGCCTCTTTGATGTTTTCCAGCCAGGTTTTCATAGCAACCACAGTACAGAGACTGCCCTGATTAAGGTGTTCAATAGCTACGTTTACATGGACACAACTAATCGGATTGAAGGCCTGATCAGATCAAAAATGTTTCATGTAAACATGTCAGACTGAAGATTCTAATCCGATTCGGTCCGATCGGATCTAAATTTAATTCCAAAAGAGAGAGGTGGTTTTTGCCGATCGCCATTCCGATTGGCGTCCATGTAAACACCCATTCGGATCTTAAGAGTAAAATAATCTTCACTGCGCATGTGTGCGACGTCAGCGTGACGTTTTTCCGCCTTGTCAACAACAGGAAACCACCGGTCGCTCTCGCTCTTGCTGTGAACAACATGGCGGGGGGAGTCTAGGAACGCCGACTTATACACTCAAGTTCATTTAAAGCTGCAGGAAGCAGGAATTTATCCTCCTCCTCTTCCTCTTCTTCCTCTCCACAGCCCACTCGCTCTACCACGCCGGTTCAATCGCTCATTCTCTACATTTTCTCTCTGACATTTCACTGCCAAGTGCTTTTTTCCTCCTCTCTCCGTTTTTCTTTCCGCTCGCTCCGAGCGCATCGTTTGTCAGGCCTCCCAAAAACCAGACGCAGACAGAACTGCCAAGTTTGGCAGGAAGTTCTGCGCATGCTTAAAAGATTTAATCTGATCCAACGCTTGGTACATGTATACACACGTCATGATCGGATCATTTCATTTAGTGTCCATGTAAACAGAGATTTTGAATTTCCGATCAACCAAGGTTTGGATCGGATCGGGGAAATTTTGCGCATGTAAACGTAGCTAATGACATCCGTATAAATTCAGACACTGGAAGGACTACGGTGCTAGTATTGTCGGACCTCAGTGCAACGCTTGATGAGGTTGAGTACTTGATTTTATTAGAGCGTCTGGAAAACTTGGTTGGCCTGTCTGGTACTGCAATGGACCGGCTTAAATCCTACCTGAACCCTTAACCCTTAAGATCACATGCGGGGTTTCTCAAGGCTCCATTCTGAGGTTCCTCCTATTCACCATCTACATGCTCCCAAGATCAGTTACATCAACTATGCAGACGACACACAGCTTTACATCACAAAGTGTCTAGGTGACTATGAACAATTAATAAAAACTAAACTGAAATAATAATCTTCGGAAAGGAGGAGAGATCCAGAGTTAGCTCACGGCTTCAGCTACTACAGCTAGAAACCACTGAATATGGCCTAGATGACATGCACCTCTGAACCTTCAGAGGTGCATTAAGGCAGTGACTAAGTCAGCCTTTTATAACCTGAAGATAAAAGGCAAATAAAGATCTAAAAAAAAAACTCATTCACACATTAATCTTTAGTAGAATTGATCACTGCAAGTCTCTTCATAGGTTTAGGCCTAAAAAGTCCATCAGGCAGCTGCAGCTGATCCAAAAGTCTGCTACTTGTTTCCTCACTAGAACTAAGAAAGTAGAGCACATCAGCCCGGTTCTGAAGTGCTTCCACTGGCTCCCTGTAGCTCAGAGATTAGACTTTA